TCCCACGCAAACAGTCATGTGACCAGCCTTGCTGTCATTCTCTCCCTTTTCGCCCAAGCGGATAGTTGAGGCTGAGCACTGGAAGTCCCATATCGGCAGATATCCTTAAGTAATTAGATCCTATTTATCAAAATTTCGCTGTGTATGGTATTTGACTATAACTATAAAGCATTAGTTGTATAAAATTTGAAGAAATTTTCGTAATTTGTTACACTTTTTCATCATAATGTAACGTGTCTACATTTCATGAAATCTTGCATTGTTTGCAGGCACCGGCTATCTGTGGCTGATCCTCACCCCCAATGCCCATCGTACATTAAACCATGTTCTTCCAGCTCACTGTGTACATATTGCAGTGATTTATCAAATTTGCAATTTAATCAATATTTGTCTTATATCTATAGACGTGCCATGGATAGGGTGAGGAAGTCATCACAAGTCATGGTTGATAAACCTGGAAATCAGCCGGTAACCGTACGTTGTTTGCTACTGCAGAAATAAATAATTTTGGTGCTGTGTTGAGTACGTTGCAGGGGTCGTCGTCTGGTACGGGGTCGAAACAGAGGTCTGCTACGGCGGAGTTGATGCCCTCTCAGAGTGAGAATAAGACTACTGCTTTATCCACAATGCAGAAATGGGCATTTATAACTAGGTTAGCGTCAAAATCAACACGACCTAGCAGGTCAACTCATCAGAGGTCGTTTAATGAGGAGATCTTTCTACCACACGAGGCAGACGTGCTTGATGAACCACCGTTACTTCTGCCTGAAGTACCGACTAGATTGGCGATGCAGGCGACCTCCACGACTACTAGATCGTCTTCTGCAACTACAACAGCGGGCGAGCTGTTTGACGACCAACCACCAACTTCTCAATGCAGTGAAGTTGAAGCACACAACACATCAATGCCGAATCAGTTCCAGTCAACGCAGAACTTTGATCCAGGCGACTTTATGAAGCAATTTACTACCCAAATGATGGCCATGATGGAACGACGGTTTGATGAGGAAGCGAAGGCACGACAGAATCTCACATCAACTGACAACATTCGCATACCCTCAGACCTGCGCGAACCTGATAACGCCTTTGGCAAACGTGTACCTTCATCACAATCGGACAACTCTGTCATCATGGAACAGGATGGAAGGTTTGTGAAGGCTACTAGCTCTACGAGAACTTCGTCTGCGAACCCTCAACATTTGAGAATGCCTAGGAATCCATCTCCAAGAGCCAGCTGTTCCAGATCTACATCCCGCAGCTCTCACACACAAACAGAAGGTTCGCGAAGGTAAGGTTTGCGATAACGGAGTTCGCTAAGGCTAGGTTCGCGAGAGACAAGTTTGCAAAGGGATGGATCACGAGACAAGGTTCGCGAAAGGGTGGATCACGAGACAGACGTTCGCGAAAGGATGGATCACGAGATAGAGGTTCGCGGAAGCTAGATTCGCGAAAGGAAGGTTCGCAGAAGGAGGATTCGCGAAAGGCATAGGTCTACGGAACAAGAACTATCTGATGAACATACCAACTACGTCTTCTCAGATACGGAAGTTACAGCTTGGATAGCTAATTGATTGAACTTAGAGTCTCCCTCCAAGGAATTGGATGAAGCTTACACAGACAAGATGTGCAAGGATGACTTCGACTCAGTGACTTTTCCTCCTTTTGAGCCGAGGTGCCTTCAAACCTACGCATATCTTTTGACAAAGCTACTAGGTTCCAGAATCAGCATCTGCCACCCCTTTATGAGAGCGCCGGACTTAGATGAGAACATAAAACTGGTCAACAAATTTCGGAACAAGTTTTACAAGGTGGAGGATAAAAAGTTGGCCCAATTTGATACTGCGACGAGGAGATCCTTCTTCGGATTAGCGAGATCCAGAGCAATCAATGAGGCATTAATTAACAAGTTCCAGAACCCCAGTTCGAAAGAAGATAGGATGATATTATCTGCTCTGCTCACTCAGAAGAAGGACCAATATCCATATCGGATCATTTGGCCTGAACGTCGGCACGTCTCACCTTGTTCCTGGAGTGACAGATTTACCCAACCCCTACTTAGAGCTCCTTGGGCGGTGCCTACCATCTTCGGAGGTGAGATAGATGAAGCAGCTAAGGAAGCTAGTCATGACTCAAGGGAAGTCATGATGATCAAGTCTGTAGATACTCCAGCCAGCGTCATTCGTCATACTTCACAGAAGTACAACAGCAAGTCGAAATATTCAGGTATCCAGAAGGCTAAGGAGAAGAAATACTCCAGTTTCAGAGGCGGGAAAGGCTCTTTTTTGTTGCCCATCCGGAAACTAGAGAGGAAACTCAGGGAGAGGACATACTCCCAGAGGTTTCAGAGGAGCTAGACGTTGAAATTGGGGCTCTGAAAGACTGGATACTTCCACCCCCAGCCGTTCCTGTACAACCATCGACAGTGGGTGGATGTCTACAAAGGTACTGGGAAAATTGGGGAATACTGGAGGGCGACTATGTCTCACAAGTACTCTTGTGAAGGATACAGAGTGCAGCTCAAGGCCACACCACCGTTAACCCTCAGACGGATGGTCTTCAACTATGCAGATGAGCAAGCAGACAAGCTACAAGAAGCCATCAACTCACTTTTCTAACCAAGAATGCGGTAGAGAGAATAGATCAACATCATCTCACGCCAGGCTTCTACACCCCAATTTTCCTAGCAACCAGAAGAATTCCAAAGAGAAATTCAGGTTGATTTACAACATGCGGAAATTCAACCAAGACTATCTACTCAAACCGAAAAGGTTCAGAATGATCCACCTACCTCAACTCAGACTACTAATTCGTCCAGCAGATTATATGGCCAGCATAGACCTCCAGGATGCATATCTACACATCCCCATGTTCCAGCTACACGTGTGGACCATATCAGAACCTGTCTGAAGAAAAGAGGATACTCCGCCAGAGCAGCGAAAGCAGTAACCTTAGCGTTACGCAGATGTACTCGCAATTTGTATGATGACAAATGGCAGAAATTTAAATATGCAAGGCGGAAGGGCTTCACAGCTATGAAAGCTGCTCATTCTCAAGTGGCCGAATATCTATGTCACGTTAGATATACAAGACATCTGAAAGGTTCGACATTATCCACATCAGCATCAGCCATCAGCACAGTCGTCACTAAGAAGTCAGGCATCAAATTGACGAAAGTACCAGAATTACTGGATCTGCTGCGATCTTTTAAACCGGAGGACCAACAAAAGAAATTCAGAGCACCAGCCTGGGATCTGAATGTAATTCTACGTCATCTCATGAGCGTTGCCTATGAGCCTCTAGAACAGACTAACTTCGAGCTACTCACACAGAAAACTCTGTTCCTACTTGCCCTAGCCACGGCAGCTCGTATGTCTGAGATACATGGGCTGTACGAATTAGATTCAACACGGGGCACCGTGCTGCAGTACATCTAGGACTAAGATGGGACTTTATTGCAAAGAATCAACTACCTGGTCAACCAGATAAACAGTTCCATGTGCCAGCGCTATCTAGGATCCTCGGACCAGAGGACACCCTGGACCTATCCTTGAGAGCCGTTATACTAAGAGCCTACAAAGCAGCATGATTAGAACCTCCAAGAGCTTCCAACCCACACGAAGTCAGAGCACTGGCGTCAACACTCGCTCTACATGGAAATTGCTCTATATCATCAATTATGGAGGGCTGCTTCTGGAAGTCAGATACGGTGTTTGGCAACCACTACCTCCGAGACATAGCCACCGAAGACTGGCTGGTCACATGACTGTTTGCGCGGGAAAAGGGAGGTAACTCGTGGATGAGTGTATTTTTACGCCCGCGTCAGGGAACTACAAAGGATTCAAGTGTTCCACTACCATTCGCAAGGAAAAGGGAGATAAGCAAAGATCATGAGTCAGGATAAGAATAAAATATCAATTTTACTTTAAAAAATTACATATTAATATATCAACTGGCTGCATCGTTTGCTGTCTGTCGGCTTTGACGATAGCATGTGGAGCCATTACAAAGCATGTAAACAAAGGATCGCTTTCATAAAATCGAAATATTGTTACAGGTTTCAGAGCTACAGATAACTTTTGGGTCAATGAGTTATGTACTCGCTTAAGCTTGTGAAACGATAAGAAAGAGTGAGTGAGTGAGTTTTATGTAACGTCACATCGGCAATATTTCAGCCATATCGTGACCGATAAGAAAGACCACAAGTTGCCAAGTCCAGGAGCTGAAATAAAAACACTCAATACACCTCAGTTATTTATCTATTTTTGTTTGTAAGCATGTATTTACAAAACTGAAGCGTACTTATGCGCAACAGATGTAATAAAATTGAGTTTTCACATAAATATTTGCGTAATTTACGCAGAATCGCAGCTTATCTGTACCTCTGGCGTTTTAGGATATTTTGTCAGTGAAAATAAAGCGATTCTATCAAGGATGATTTGTTAGATATGTAGACTTCGTCAAAAATAGAAGAGTTAAGAAAAATGTACATTATATTGAATGGTGATTGCAAGATGTGACGAATCGTCACATCTTTTACAACCTAATGGCAGAGGTACTGTGCTGGCCACATGGAACTCCGGGTAGGAGAATGGGCACAATCAGGCTGGTAAACAGTGTTGATTGCTGGGGATGGGTGATGTTTCTTACGTGCGTGTCTGTGAGAATCTTCAATGATTAAAGGGAGATAACACACATCATGTACTACATGTTGAACAAGTGAAGGTAACAAAACTAGCTGGTTATATTAATGGATTTTTACATAATGGATGTGCAGCAACCCATTTTTGTTTTAAGAGGCGGCTAACAGGATTGGACAGTCATTCCTGGTTGAAACATTATCATTTCTTAATTGCATAAATAAATGGTCATGATGTTAATCACTGGATTGTCTGGTCTTAACTTGATTATTTACAAACAGCCATCAGACAACAAATAACAAACATAACAAACAACAAACCTGGTATTATGATGATTATAGTGTTTTGTGTTCTGTGTTCCAGGGACTTAGGATGAACAGAACACTGCTGTCTCTCTCCCCTGGCCAACAACCAGATCGGAGATAAGGGGGTGAAGAAAATAGCAGAGGTCAGTGAGCATTGCTTCATTTAATTCATGGGGCACATAATGCAAGACACATTCTTTTGTTATGATTATAATACTGAAAATGTACATATTGGATATATGGGTACAGTTACCCTGTTTTGAGGGTTTGAAAGGGGCAGTGTGCAAAATAGCCACTGGCCCGCTAGCCTGTGGCTAGTAAAAATCAAGTTGGGCCAGTAAATGTCCACAGTCTCTGGCCTGACTGGCTAGTGAATTTTCATTGGGTCATTTTGTAAATATATCACTCTCTCCAACATATCAGCATCTTAATGATAAAACCCATGTCTACATTCAAATTTCGGACTAGTAAATTATTTTGTGGGCTAGTAACTGAATGGCTAGCAAAATTTGGAAACTATTTTGCACACTGGAAAAGGGAGCTGCTTTATGCACGGGGTTAAAGATGTCTGAGTATTGTTTTATCTGTATAACTTTCTGATTCTAATGGTGATGTCAACCAGCATCCGATTGTCACTGATGTGTTTTGATGAAATTATGGGGTCACTTAAAACATGTGGTTGCATGTGGAATATCGGGGTTGTGCATGTGATGTACTTCATTCCGACTTCTAGCACGACGTTGTGTGATACTTGATTCTGATTGGCTGAGAGCTCATCAAAACCGTATGTAAATGGCAGTTAAAGGACTGCTAATTAAAGTGACCGATTCACCGCATATTAATAAAGTGAACCTGTTGTAAACAAACACATCGGACATTGGTGATTTCTACCTCAACAACATCTCAGATGTTTTTGAAGTAAGGGACTGTTCATAATTTATGGCTAGGGGGGTGTGATGATGATTTTAAGGGGGATCACCCATTCTGTTCAGGGGAGCAAGGTGGGTGTCATCAATTTTGCACACATGTACTAGGGGGGTCAGCAATTTTGTACATGACATGCAGGGGGGATGTCACTTATTTTGTACATATATTATAGGAGGGGTAATTCACAATGGACATGCTCCTCCATAAATGTCATCATCATCCCCCCCAACCATAAATTATGAACGGTCCCTAAAAAGCAAATGGTTTGAAGAAGAATTTTTTTAGCTTAATCCCATTGAAGAAACTTCCAAGCAGGAAAAAGCACGTTCAGTTTTTAAGTTACATTTAGCCATCTTAAATCAACGATAAAGGACCGCCACATTGAAAACAGAGTAGCATTATCTTCTAATTAGTTTGCAAGCAGGGTACAGAGATTAGCATTGAGTTCATTGATTTTACAAGGGGTCACCTTATGAGTGAGATTACATGTATAGCCTATATCTCGTCTGTAGGCACTGTCTCCGGTTTCCCCTGACACGAAGAGGTGGTGGCACGTCGTCGTCTCATCTCAGAAAGGTTCTCCAGAGAGAAATAAATCTGTAAGTACTATTAATAATTAATACTTATTTGTGATGCACAAAAAACACCCACTGATGCATGGTCACAGCACTCCATTGGGTACCTTGCCTAGTGGATCAGTGTGCACTAAATTCCCATTCTCAACACCCTGGGGAGTATGCAAATACCAACCTTATAGAGAGTAAAGCCTTACAATCACTGCCACTAGTTACCCGTTCACTGCAGGAGAACAGAGACATGTTTCACTCAGGAAAGTCACTCAGGAGATACTAGTGTTTCAGTTTAGTCAGGATTAAAGCACAAGAAACTCTCAGAACTACATGATAACCCATCCTCCAACTCTCCTTTACACGTCCTACCTTTACCAAATTTGTGAAATCAAAATGGGGAAACTACTGTTTGTAAGATAAATTACCTCCCTTTGATCTGTCGTAGTCTTTAGATCCGTCTGTAAGACCAGGCTGTTGGGTGCACAGATGATGGAATTGGATCTGCCATAGTTTTAGATCCGTCTGTAAGACCCGTCACGACCAGGCTGTTGGGTGCATAGATGATGGAATTTCACTGGTACATTTTGAAAATTAGAGTGAGTGAGTGAGTTTAGTTTTATGCAGCTTTTAGCAATAATCCAGCAACATCCGCGGTGGGGACACCAGAAATGACCTTCCGCGAATTGTACCCATTTGGGAAATCGAACCCAAGTCTTTGGTGAAGAGTTAGCGCTTCAACCACTAGGCTACCCAACCCATGAAAATTAAGACTGGTAAGACTGTCTCTACATTCCTGCCTGATACTTGACGCCATTGTACTTGCACAGGCTACCTTCATTGAGCAGGAAATATTTCTGCTTCATGAACCTTTCCTTTGAGTATGGGTGTAAAAGGCCTTCATGACCTGTTGAACCTTTTAGACCTTGTAGGTGATATATGATGGTATATCTGCATGTCTTTGTTCACTGTTCACTTTGCACTGTTCACCTAGCCACCACCGAGTAGCAAGAGCGGATTCTAAGGACCGTCCTGGCAGTGTGCGTAGCAGCTCTCACGGACAGGGACAAGTCTAAGCGAGACAAAGCCATCTGCCAAAAGAATAAGGTACTCTCTGTGGCTTTATACTGTTGCAGGCAACTGATACATGTCAAATGTATTGTTTCAGTATTAGCGTTAGTACTGACAACGGTATACAAGCAGTACTGGTGTACAAAGCTGGTAATACAATATTGGTAATACAATACTGGTGATACAATATTGGTAATACAATATTAAGTAATACAATAATGGTAATATAGTATTGGCAATACAGTACTGGTGATACAATATTGGTAATACAATACTGGTAATATAATATTGGCAATACAGTACCGGTGATACAATATTGGTAATACAGTACTGGTGATACAATATTGGTAATACAGTACTGGTGATACAACATTGGTAATACAGTACTGGTGATACAATATTGGTAATACAAAACTGGTGATACAACATTGGTAATACAGTACTGGTGATACAATATTGGTAATACAATACTGGTGATACAATATTGGTAATACAATAATGGTAATATAGTATTGGCAATACAACGGTACTGGTGATACAATATTGGTAATGCAGTACTGGTGATGGTAATATGGTACTGGTGATACAATATTGGTAATACAATACTGGTGATACAATATTGGTAACACAGTACTGGTGATACAATATTGATAATAAAGTACCGGTGATACAATATTGGTAATACAGTACTGGTGATACAATATTGGTAATACAAGTACTGGTGATATTATATTGGTAATACAGTACTGGTGATACAATATTGGTAATACAGTACTGGTGATATTATATTGGTAATAAAGTACCAGTGATACAATATTGGTAATACAGCACTGGTGATACAATATTTGGTAATACAATACTGGTGATACAATATTGGTAATACAAAACTGGTGATACAACATTGGTAATATAGTCAATGCGGGTGATAGAATATTGGTAAACAAGTACTGGTGATACAATATTGGTAATGCAGTACTCGTGATACAATATTGGTAATACAATACTGGTGATACAATATTGGTAATGCAGTACTACTAAACTGGTGATACAATATTGGTAATACAATACTGGTGATACAATATTGGTAATACAATAATGGTAATATAGTATTGGCAATACAGTACTGGTGATACAATATTGGTAATACAATACTGGTAATATAATATTGGCAATACAGTACCGGTGATACAATATTGGTAATACAGTACTGGTGATACAATATTGGTAATACAGTACTGGTGATACAATATTGGTAATACAGTACTGGTGATACAACATTAGTAATACAATTACTGGTGATACAATATTGGTAATACAAAACTGGTGATACAACATTGGTAATGCAGTACTGGTGATACAATATTGGTAATACAATACTGGTGATACAATATTGGTAATACAATAATGGTAATATAGTATTGGCAATACAGTACTGGTGATACAATATTGGTAATACAGTACTGGTGATGGTAATACAATACTGGTGATACAATGTTGGTAATACAATGCTGATACAATATTGGTAACACAAGTACTGGTGATACAATATTGATAATAAAGTACGAGTTGATACAATATTGGTAATACAGTACTGGTGATACAATATTGGTAATACAATTACTGGTGATATTATATTGGTAATACAGTACTGGTGATACAATATTGGTAATACAGTACTGGTGATATTATATTGGTAATAAAGTACCAGTGATACAATATTGGTAATACAGCACTGGTGATACAATATTAGTAATACAATACTGGTGATACAATATTGGTAATACAAAACTGGTGATACAACATTGGTAATATAGTGCGGGTGATAGAATATTGGTAAACAAGTGCTGGTGATACAATATTGGTAATACATTACTTCGTGATACAATATTGGTAATACAATACTGGTGATACAATATTGGTAACACAGTACTCGTGATACAATATTGGTAATACAATACTGGTGATACAATATTGGTAATACAATAATGGTAATATAGTATTGGCAATACAATTACTGGTGATACAATATTGGTAATACAGTACTGGTGATGGTAATACAGTACTGGTGATACAATATTGGTAATACAATACTGGTGATACAATATTGGTATATATGATGCGGATTGATAGAATATTGGTGAAACAAGTACTGGTGATACTATATTGGTAATACAATGCTGGTGATACAATATTGGTAATACAACCGAGATAAGAGATAAGAGTTCCAGTATTATAACACTTGCCATGTTAGAGATACTACCAGTATTATAACTTGCCATGTTAGAGATACTACCAGTATTATAACACTTGCCATGTTAGAGATACTACCAGTATTATAACACTTGCCATGTTAGAGATACTACCAGTATTACAACACTTGCCATGTTAGAGATACTACCAGTATTACAACACTTGCCATGTTAGAGATACTACCAGTATTATAACGCATGCCATGAGAGATACTACCAGTATTATAACACTTGCCATGTTAGAGATACTACCAGTATTACAACACTTGCCATGTTAGAGATACTACCAGTATTATAACACTTGCCAT